GGTCTGTGAGTGGCAGTAAAATATGTGCACATTGAGGAACAAACCGTCGGTAATAGCTCACCATGCCGAGAAATGTGCGCAAGGCTTTTATTGACGTAGGTTCCGGGAAGTCGCGTATTGCCTGCACCTTCTCAGGTAGCGGGCGAATTCCCTGTTCATTAATGACATGTCCCAGGAAGGTCAATGAATGGACGCCAATCTGACATTTGGACATGTTAAGGGTCAAACCATGGGCTGTTAACCGCTCGAAAACCATCTGTAGCTGCGTACGGTGGCTAGCTTCGTCTGGGCTAGCCACGAGAATATCGTCGAGGTAAGCATATGCGCAATCTAATCCGCGCAAAACATCGTGAATGAATCGCTGAAATGTTTGTGCGGCGTTGCGGAGACCAAACGGCATTCGAAGAAATTCGAAAAGACCAAAAGGGGTGATCACTGCCGTTTTAGGAATATCATCTGGGTGAACTGGAATCTGGTGATAGGCCCTGGTTAAGTCCAGTTTACTGAATACCGTGGCACCCTTTAGAGACGACGTAAGGTCATGAATATGTGGTACGGGGTAGCGATCAGGTACGGTCTGTGCGTTAAGCCTGCGGTAGCCACCACAAGGCCTCCAATCTATCCCATTATTCTTTGGTACCACATGTAAAGGGGAAGACCACGGGCTGCTGGAAGGACGGATTATCCCCATATCTAACATATGTTCGAATTCAGCCTTCACGGCTTGTAGTTTTTCTGGGGACAATCGCCGTGGCTTAGCGAAGACCGGTGGACCAGTGGTCACGATATGATGAGTGACCGTAGACGTCACACAAGGAAGTTTAGAAACCGGTTTGAACAGATTGGCAAAGGACTGAAGAACTTCAGCGTAAGGGCCGTTAGAGGCAGGGGTTGAGTATACTGGGCTTAGTGCAGGTGTGTGTGTCACAACACCGGAGATCGAAAGGCTTGTAGCTGAATCGATCAGTTTGTGTTTGCCAGTATCAACCAGTAGCTGATAGTGTTGCATGAGATCCATGCCAATAATACCGGTAGTTACATCCGCCACAAGGAAAACCCAGCGAAATGACCTACGTAGGCCTATGTTAAGATCCAGGAACCTTTTGCCGTACGTTGTGATTGGCGAACCGTTTGCGGCGCGAAGCTGTAAGGAAAGTGGCCGCTTGCGCTCTTCAGATGTTGGTGGAATCACGCTAACTTCCGCCCCAGTGTCAACTAGGAAGCGTGTCACAGTGGTACGGTCGGTAACATAGAAGAGGCGACATGGAAGTGATTCGCCAGCGACGTTAGTCGCCAATACGTGCTGGCTTACTGGTTTCCCGATTGCTGGCCATCAAAGGTGCACGGGCGAGCGCACTTTTGGGCCTTATCACCATAACGCCGGTGATACCAGCACACTCCAGGTTGGGAATTTTGAGGCCTACGACGTCTGCTGCCAGCTCGTGACGAAGATCTGCCACGAGTCGAGCTGGTGCGGCTATGTGAACGACCTCTAGATCTCCTATCGAGTTTTAACTTTCCTATCTCTTCGTACGGCTTATTGAGGTGAGCCACCACATCAACGTTTGATGACCCCACGGCAGAGGAGGTCCTAGTCTGCGTGGAACTAGCGGTAACGGCAGCCGAGATATTCGTGTTTGATGTAGTAGTCTCTACTACTCTATCGGCTGCCTCAGCTAGCTCAGATAAGCGGGAATGGTTGATTGGGGCTAAAATGGTCTGAATCGTCTGGGGTAACCGTTGTAACCATAGCTGTTTCAAGAAGGCATCATCTATTTTGAAGTCGGCCACCAACTGCCTCATTTGCCGTAACAGTTGGGTGGGCTTTCTATCACCTAGGTGAACATCTCGGAATAGCTCCTGCACTTTCTGTTGTTCGGTAAGTGCCACGCGCTTAATAAGCGCCTGCTTGAGACGCTCGTACAAGCCCGAGGATCGGTCCGCAAGGACATCAGATACATCTTCTATGACTTGCTCAGGAAGACTTACTATAACTAGGTTCACCTTAGTCTCCTGTGAGTGTATATTTCGAAGTGCGAACATAGCTTCGATGTGTTGGAACCATCGGGCAGGATGCTGAGTCCAGAAGGTGGGGAGTTGCAAGGTAATAGCCATTTCTGAGGCGGGACTGGTGTCAGTCATTTTGCACACGGGACGATATATTAATAAAATGACAACAAATATGATAACAAAAAATATGAGTAAAAACAAGGCAAGTAAAATTTATAACTCCGTGTGAAAAACAAATTACCAATATGAAAAAGGACTATTTACACTTTAGGCTATTAAGTAGGCAAACGGTGAAAACTCGGGCTCACCATTTGTAAGAATTCGACTTAGGATTTACTTCGACCTAACACTGACCGCTCTTACAAACTCCTTCACCGTTTATGCCCTTAATTATTACTCTGCCTACGTGCAAGTACTAAAGAACGGAATCAAAGTTAGAAGACTCGAAATGGCAAGTGTAACTGGACCGGAATTGTATTTACACAAAGAGATATGGAATTTGATAAGAAAATAAAAGTACACACTTGTCTGGATGTGAGACGGTTGTCAGCTCGTAGGGTGTACTAGGTGAAAGTACAGCGAGAGAGCGAGACAGTAACCGTACAGGAGGATCCAGAGTACAAAGCGGAAGTCGGGTTAAACATGTCAGGTTGCGTTCATTCAAACAAAAGTTGAAAGGTACAATGTACACTACACACTCTTAGTCAGACGCCAAAATGACGCCCCTCTGTCTCTCATGACAGACGCTTCAGACGTTGCCATCGGGGCAGTTTTACAACAGCACGTACACGGCGAATGGCAAACCCTAGCATTCTTTTCGAAACGACTGAATCCTACTCAATGTCGCTATAGCACATTTGGTAGAGAGTTATTAGCTGTTTATTTAGCAATCAAGCACTTTCGACATATTTTGGTGTGGTTGTGTTCTCTGAGCTGGATGGTTTGGTTGCGAAGCTTTCATTGCTCTACTGAGCAACATCTTCAGCGCATACTTCGATGTGAAGTGAGCTTTTAGAATTCTCTATGTGTTTATTAGTCATCTCTTCTAGTAACCCTGAACGTGATTGGTTGTTTCGGTGTGACATTTCACCCCCTAGTTTGCTTGTCTCGGTGCTGGCTGCTTCTTTGGTCTGAATGTCGTTAGTCATTGCTTCTGCTAACCTTGAACGTGATTGGTTGTTTTTGTGTGACTTCTCACTTTCTAGTTCACTTGTTTTGGTGTTGACTGTTTCCTTGACCTGAAGTTTGACTTTGTTTTTGTGTGAATTTCTTCGTATGGATTGGTATATTTTGTCAATCTCTATGTGTCTATTGATTGCTGATTCATTTGAATACCAGGCCTCTAGGAATTCTCTGGCATTTTTGCAGTTCCCTTTGTCTAAGATTTGAATATTGTCCCAGTCGAATTGGTGCCCGTGGTTGTCTGCATGTAGTGATATGAGGGAGTGTATGTCGTGTCTTTTGACAACTAGTTTGTGTTCGTGAATGCGAAGACGAAGAGGGCGTCCACTTTGACCAATGTAATGTTTGTCGCAGTCGTTGCAACTTATCTTGTAGATGACGTTAGTTTTGTCTTCTTTTGCCGTTGAGTAGTTTGGTTTACATAGAACTGAGTGTAGTGACTTTGTTGGTTTATGAGCGACATCGATTCCAAAAGGTTTGAATAGTCTTGCAGTGATTTCGGAGATATCTTTTATATATGGTAGGATGACTTTCTTTGTGTTTTCGCTGGTGGCCCTTGATTTGGTTGGTTGAGTTGGGGGTATATGTCTTTTGATGAAGTTTCGTGGGTATCCATTTCTTTGGAAGACGTCCATAAGATGATTTTCTTCAATTTTCCTCAAGGCGGCAGTGCTTCAATGAGTCCTGGATCTCTTGAACAATGTACGTATGCAGCTAATTTTGTGTGATGTTGGGTTGTTACTGTTGTAATTGAGTATTTGATCCGTGTGCGTTGTTTTTCTGTATACTTGGGTTTCTAATTTTCCTGTAGTTGTTCGTTTGATTAAGACGTCTAAGAATGGGATTTTGTTTTCATATTCTTCTTCTCTTGTGAATTTGATGTCGTTGAAGGTGTTGTTTATTATGTTGTGGGTATTGTCTAAGTTTTCTCTTTTGATTATCACGAATGTATCATCTATGTAGCGTATCCAAATTTTCGGTTTGATCTTTGGCAGAATTATGTTTTCCAGTCTTTGCATGACGGCTTCCACAATCAATCCTGATATGGGTGATCCCATAGGTGTTCCTTGAATTTGTTCATACATTTGGCCGTTGAATTGGAAATAAGTTGTGAGACACAAGTTTATGCATTCCATCCAACTTGAATGCTGCATTTTTGATTGTTGTATGTGTTCGTCGTTGTTGAGTAGTTGTTCCATGGTTTCTTTTGCTAGTTTTAGTCCAATTGAAGTATATAATGCCGTGATGTCGAAGGATACCATTATTTCTTGGCTGTCTATTTCAATGCCTTTGATTTTCTCTAAAAATTGGGTCGCAGATTGGATGGAGTGATCACATGATTTCGTCAAGTGTTTCAGTCTTCTGTATATTTTTTTGGATAAATTGTATGTTGGGGTTCCTGGGAGTGATACGATTGGTCGTAGAGGTATATTTGGCTTGTGTATTTTTGGTCTGCCGTAGAATCGAGGTATGACGGGTCCATTGGATTTCATTCACCATTGATCTTCTTTTGTGATTTGACCCGTTTTGATGAGTTTGCTTAGGGTTCTTTGGATGCGGTTGTTTAGTGTTTCGATGGGGTTTGTTGTTAGTTGTTGGTATATTGTTTGATCTTTGAGTGGTTCTTCCGCTTTTGCAGTGTATTCTTCTTTGTCCATGATTACTGTAGTCCTTCCTTTGTCAGCTGGTACTATAACGATATCTTTCCTGTTTTTCAGTCTTTTGAGGGCTTTTTGTTCTTGTGAGTTGAGTTGTGTGTGTCGTTTTCTTTGTTTAACTATAGGCACTATTGTTTGACGTATCTCTTCTTATGTTTCTTCACTTAATTTTGATGATTTGAGTGTTGATTCAAGAGCAGCGAAGAAGTCTGTTTTCGAGGCGTCTTCAGTGTTGTAGTTTAATCCTTTTTGAAGTAGTTGTTGTTCCATTTTTGACAGCGGCTGTTTTGATAAATTGACTACGCAATCAATTGGTGTATTGTTCGGCTGTTGTTTTTTGATTTTGGTTAGCTTGGTTCTGAGAACTTTTCGTCTACGTTCTCTGTGTCTACTACTTGTCAGTGCGATTGCGGTGATCATTGCTGAAAGGTGTTCTCGGCTGAGGATTTTCTCTAGTTTCTCTTTTTCAAAGTCCATTATTTGTTGATATTTCTTGATTCTATAATGTGCATCTCTAATCATTAGTTTAACCATTTTTCTTCCACATTGTTCAGCTAATTTCCATCCCATTGGGCAGTTGATTGGTGGCTTATATCTCACGCTGGTTGGTAGAATTTGATGACGAAGGCACTCATGGAGAAAAAATAGTTGTTCTCTGGTGGATCCTTGCCGTTTGGCGAAGCCCTCCCACTTTCGAACAGAAAGAAGCGTGTTCCGTACGTATGATTTAGATATAATAGAGAAGATTTGTAGCTCAGGTGGATGATTTTGCTGTGGTTATGTTCTCTGAGCTGGATGGTTTGGTTGCGAAGCTTTCATTGCTCTACTGAGCAACACCAAAAGACATCTACCCCCAACTCAACCAACCAAATCAAAGGCCACCAGCGAAAACACAAAGAAAGTCGTCCTACCATATATAAAAGATATCTCCGAAATCACTGCAAGACTATTCAAACCTTTTGGAATCGATGTCGCTCATAAACCAACAAAGTCACTACACTCAGTTCTATGTAAACCAAACTACTCAACGGCAAAAGAAGACAAAACTAACGTCATCTACAAGATAAGTTGCAACGACTGCGACAAACATTACATTGGTCAAAGTGGACGCCCTCTTCGTCTTCGCATTCACGAACACAAACTAGTTGTCAAAAGACACGACATACACTCCCTCATATCACTACATGCAGACAACCACGGGCACCAATTCGACTGGGACAATATTCAAATCTTAGACAAAGGGAACTGCAAAAATGCCAGAGAATTCCTAGAGGCCTGGTATTCAAATGAATCAGCAATCAATAGACACATAGAGATTGACAAAATATACCAATCCATACGAAGAAATTCACACAAAAACAAAGTCAAACTTCAGGTCAAGGAAACAGTCATCACCAAAACAAGTGAACTAGAAAGTGAGAAGTCACACAAAAACAACCAATCACGTTCAAGGTTAGCAGAAGCAATGACTAACGACATTCAGACCAAAGAAGCAGCCAGCACCGAGACAAGCAAACTAGGGGGTGAAATGTCACACCGAAACAACCAATCACGTTCAGGGTTACTAGAAGAGATGACTAATAAACACATAGAGAATTCTAAAAGCTCACTTCACATCGAAGTATGCGCTGAAGATGTTGCTCAGTAGAGCAATGAAAGCTTCGCAACCAAACCATCCAGCTCAGAGAACACAACCACACCAAAATATGTCGAAAGTGCTTGATTGCTAAATAAACAGCTAATAACTCTCTACCAAATGTGCTATAGCGACATTGAGTAGGATTCAGTCGTTTCGAAAAGAATGCTAGGGTTTGCCATTCGCCGTGTACGTGCTGTTGTAAAACTGCCCCGATGGCAACGTCTGAAGCGTCTGTCATGAGAGACAGAGGGGCGTCATTTTGGCGTCTGACTAAGAGTGTGTAGTGTACATTGTACCTTTCAACTTTTGTTTGAATGAACGCAACCTGACATGTTTAACCCGACTTCCGCTTTGTACTCTGGATCCTCCTGTACGGTTACTGTCTCGCTCTCTCGCTGTACTTTCACCTAGTACACCCTACGAGCTGACAACCGTCTCACATCCAGACAAGTGTGTACTTTTATTTTCTTATCAAATTCCATATCTCTTTGTGTAAATACAATTCCGGTCCAGTTACACTTGCCATTTCGAGTCTTCTAACTTTGATTCCGTTCTTTAGTACTTGCACGTAGGCAGAGTAATAATTAAGGGCATAAACGGTGAAGGAGTTTGTAAGAGCGGTCAGTGTTAGGTCGAAGTAAATCCTAAGTCGAATTCTTACAAATGGTGAGCCCGAGTTTTCACCGTTTGCCTACTTAATAGCCTAAAGTGTAAATAGTCCTTTTTCATATTGGTAATTTGTTTTTCACACGGAGTTATAAATTTTACTTGCCTTGTTTTTTACTCATATTTTTTGTTATCATATTTGTTGTCATTTTATTAATATATCGTCCCGTGTGCAAAATGACTGACACCAGTCCCGCCTCAGAAATGGCTATTACCTTGCAACTCCCCACCTTCTGGACTCAGCATCCTGCCCGATGGTTCCAACACATCGAAGCTATGTTCGCACTTCGAAATATACACTCACAGGAGACTAAGGTGAACCTAGTTATAGTAAGTCTTCCTGAGCAAGTCATAGAAGATGTATCTGATGTCCTTGCGGACCGATCCTCGGGCTTGTACGAGCGTCTCAAGCAGGCGCTTATTAAGCGCGTGGCACTTACCGAACAACAGAAAGTGCAGGAGCTATTCCGAGATGTTCACCTAGGTGATAGAAAGCCCACCCAACTGTTACGGCAAATGAGGCAGTTGGTGGCCGACTTCAAAATAGATGATGCCTTCTTGAAACAGCTATGGTTACAACGGTTACCCCAGACGATTCAGACCATTTTAGCCCCAATCAACCATTCCCGCTTATCTGAGCTAGCTGAGGCAGCCGATAGAGTAGTAGAGACTACTACATCAAACACGAATATCTCGGCTGCCGTTACCGCTAGTTCCACGCAGACTAGGACCTCCTCTGCCGTGGGGTCATCAAACGTTGATGTGGTGGCTCACCTCAATAAGCCGTACGAAGAGATAGGAAAGTTAAAACTCGATAGGAGATCTAGAGGTCGTTCACATAGCCGCACCAGCTCGACTCGTGGCAGATCTTCGTCACGAGCTGGCAGCAGACGTCGTAGGCCTCAAAATTCCCAACCTGGAGTGTGCTGGTATCACCGGCGTTATGGTGATAAGGCCCAAAAGTGCGCTCGCCCGTGCACCTTTGATGGCCAGCAATCGGGAAACCAGTAAGCCAGCACGTATTGGCGACTAACGTCGCTGGCGAATCACTTCCATGTCGCCTCTTCTATGTTACCGACCATACCACTGTGACACGCTTCCTAGTTGACACTGGGGCGGAAGTTAGCGTGATTCCACCAACATCTGAAGAGCGCAAGCGGCCACTTTCCTTACAGCTTCGCGCCGCAAACGGTTCGCCAATCACAACGTACGGCAAAAGGTTCCTGGATCTTAACATAGGCCTACGTAGGTCATTTCGCTGGGTTTTCCTTGTGGCGGATGTAACTACCGGTATTATTGGCATGGATCTCATGCAGCACTATCAGCTACTGGTTGATACTGGCAAACACAAACTGATCGATTCAGCTACAAGCCTTTCGATCTCCGGTGTTGTGACACACACACCTGCACTAAGCCCAGTATACTCAACCCCTGCCTCTAACGGCCCTTACGCTGAAGTTCTTCAGTCCTTTGCCAATCTGTTCAAACCGGTTTCTAAACTTCCTTGTGTGACGTCTACGGTCACTCATCATATCGTGACCACTGGTCCACCGGTCTTCGCTAAGCCACGGCGATTGTCCCCAGAAAAACTACAAGCCGTGAAGGCTGAATTCGAACATATGTTAGATATGGGGATAATCTGTCCTTCCAGCAGCCCGTTGTCTTCCCCTTTACATGTGGTACCAAAGAATAATGGGATAGATTGGAGGCCTTGTGGTGACTACCGCAGGCTTAACGCACAGACCGTACCTGATCGCTACCCCGTACCACATATTCATGACCTTACGTCGTCTCTAAAGGGTGCCACGGTATTCAGTAAACTGGACTTAACCAGGGCCTATCACCAGATTCCAGTTCACCCAGATGATATTCCTAAAACGGCAGTGATCACCCCTTTTGGTCTTTTCGAATTTCTTCGAATGCCGTTTGGTCTCCGCAACGCCGCACAAACATTTCAGCGATTCATTCACGATGTTTTGCGCGGATTAGATTGCGCATATGCTTACCTCGACGATATTCTCGTGGCTAGCCCAGACGAAGCTAGCCACCGTACGCAGCTACAGATGGTTTTCGAGCGGTTAACAGCCCATGGTTTGACCCTTAACATGTCCAAATGTCAGATTGGCGTCCATTCATTGACCTTCCTGGGACATGTCATTAATGAACAGGGAATTCGCCCGCTACCTGAGAAGGTGCAGGCAATACGCGACTTCCCGGAACCTACGTCAATAAAAGCCTTGCGCACATTTCTCGGCATGGTGAGCTATTACCGACGGTTTGTTCCTCAATGTGCACATATTTTACTGCCACTCACAGACCTACTAAAGGGTAGGAACAAAACGTTCAGCATGACATCAGAGGCTCGAGAAGCCTTCCAGAATATTAAGTCGGCAATTGCAGACGCCACCATGCTAGTCCACCTTGACGTCCATCTTCCACTTAGCATCTCAGTTGACGCATCTAACACAGCCATTGGAGCTGTTCTACAGCAACTGGTACATACTTCATGGATACCAGTTGCCTTTTTCTCCCGGAAGTTGTCCGCCGCTGAAGCGAGGTATAGCACCTTTGGCAGAGAACTCCTCGCCATATACGCGGCTATCAAACATTTTCGCCACTTTGTGGAAGGTCGGAAATTCACAGTATTTACCGATCACAAGCCACTGACGTATGCCCTCCACACTACTACAGATAGATATTCCCCACGCGAATTGCGTCACTTGGATTATATCTCTCAATTCACTTCGGATATTAGACATATTTCGGGGGTTGACAATGCTGTGGCAGACGCTTTGTCTAGGATATGTATCATGTCGGCGCCTCCAACCATTGACTTGAAACAAATGGCACAACTTCAGCTTACAGAGTTAGATCTTGATAAGCTGTCGTCAAATACCTCCTTACATATCAAGCGTATACCGCTTGTTAATAGCGAGGGTACCATCCTCTGCGATCTGTCCACCGGTACCCCGAGACCCATCGTTCCACCTTCATTGCGCCGTACGGTATTCGATAGCCTCCACAACCTTTCCCACCCAGGTATCCGGGCAACGGACAAACTAGTGTCAGCTAGATTTGTCTGGCCTGGTATCAATCGCGACGTGCGTATCTGGGCACGTGCCTGTGTGCCGTGCCAACGAGCTAAAGTCCACAAACACAACATCACTCCAGTGGGTTCCTTCCCCACACCCGATGCTCGCTTTAGCCACGTACATCTAGATATAGTGGGTCCTCTACCACCATCAAATGGCCACTGTTACTTGTT